CGATCGATATTTAAAGGGTATTGTTTTTGTGCTAAATATTCCATAAAAACGTTATTTAATACTTTGTGGATTATTAATTTAGTTGATAATCACTGGAAGTAAAATGGATGCTAATTTGAGAGATCAAGATCTTCGTATAAAACAGTTAATAAAAGAAAATCTACGTAAGTACTCTTTTTATACCTAGGTAGGTAAGGTATAATAAACACAAAAGGTACTTAGATCGCGTGTGTTCGAAGCATTTATTCTAATAAATTTAATTTAAAATTGTAGAAAGAAAAAAATGTCTGCCAAGCCGTAGCCGAAGCCGATCTCCAAATATATTTGGCGATAGTGAGACCCAGTGTCCAGATGATTTACCCAGCGTCGTCGCAACAAATAAAAAAACGAGGATAAAGTAAAAGAAAATTTACTGAAAGAAGAAACAAACTGTTCTAAATGCTTAATTTATGGAGAAGAGGATAAAAGAAATGAGTATTTCGGACTGTTAGTGGCTCAAGAATTTAAATATATACGGCCATGTGTGCGAACGAGGTGTTATGAAGAAATTTTAAAGTATCTACGGGAAGCAAAAGGCCAACATGTTGATCAACTGCAACATGAAAACACTGAAAATTAATTACTTTCATTTTATTATATATAGATTTTTAAAATTTCCTGAAATATTATTAGTTAACGTTTTATTTAATATTGTAGAATTGATCAATACAATTTATAAAAATAATTTATTGGTATTACTTACATATTTTCAAAAAAATACGTAAAAACCTATTTTTTTGGGTGATTATGGGAGTTTATGGGTGTTTATTGGGTTTTTACCAAAGCACCGGGTTTAAACCCGGTGCTTTGCCCATCTGTAATTGTAATTGTTTAAGGGTTCATTGACATCATACTCGAAATCCAAAAGTAATTGATTAACAGTTTCAGAATAAAGATCCCAATTAACGAGACGTAGGTTTATACGATTTAACAAAAGTTTATTAACTTCATCTATAGGAGCATGTTGTTCACCTGACGGAGTTGATGAAGAGTTCTTTGTGTTTATTTTAGTAAAAGTCGGCAGGTGATAACTTCCTAACGGATCATCATGAACCGACCACTCGCATTTTAATGATATGGATGGGGATACCATAGTTAAATCAAGGCCATTGGGTCTCCAAATATGAGAGCCAACAGTAGTAACTTGCTTATCATTTAATAGTACCAAATTACATTCATCTAAACAATCAAGAATGTCTTTACCTCTTGTATTAGTGGAGGTACAACCCCACATAGTATGATGTGCATTTAAATCTCCAGATATGATAGTGGGTTTAGGAAGAGACTCCAAAAAGAACTTAAATTTGGCTTTAGTAAAACTAGGTGTACTATTGGTAGGACAGTAAATACTGGCAACTGAATACCAAGAATTATTAACTTCAATACTAATAGCTATAGTTTGCAAAGAATTGTCGAAAAAAGAGTGAAGTTTTTTATATCTAATACTATTATGTATAATAATCGCTACTCCATTGTGGTTATTACCACAATCATTTCGTTCTATACAATAATCTTTAATTTTTAATTTGTAATGTGGTTTTAGCCAAGTTTCTGAGATGAGAGCAATGTGAATATGATGTTCATTTAAAAATTGTGTAAAAATAAGTCGATTGCTCAGTAGGCTCTGAGCGTTCCACTGTATGATAGTTAATTGGTCTCGATTGAATTTTGTGAAATAGGTCTATTACCAAAAGTATCATATAACACATTCAAAACACTTTTAGTGTTAATAGATGTGTTCTTTGTGTTATGTAGTGAAATAAGTTTGATTATGCTTTCTATTAAAAGTGATAAACTCTTGTTATCAGAATTTAGAATTGAAATTAGGTCTACATTTTTTTTAGGTTTGTTACCCAGTTTAGGAAATATTTCAGTGCTAAGTATATCTCCAAAAGAAGCAGGTCTGAATTTAGATCTATTTTCAGCAATTTTCTTTTGTTTAACAGGGCATTGCGGTGATACACTTGTGTGATTTCCATTGCAGTGTACACAAATAGCGTTTTCCATTCCAGTTGTACAAGTTTTATAATTATGCTCACCTTTGCAGATGCTGCAACGCTCAGAATTCTTACAGAATTTAGCTAAATGTCCATACCTCAAGCACCGGTAGCATTGTTTAACTGGTGGTATATATGGAGTGACATTGTGGCGCCAACCTCCAATATCCAGATATTCAGGTAATACAGATGCAGCAAAAGTAATTGTCACGGTTAGAGTTGGCTGTAACACATATCCATGAGTCAAGGTATTTTTTCTTAAAATTCTTTTAATAGCAATAATTTTCTTAGAACTCGATATCATAGTATATATTTTTTTATTAGATATATTTGTAGGTACATTTCTAATAACGCCTGTAACTTCTGTTGAAGAAGCAGGAATACTGGCCTTAAAATGGTAGTCATTTAAAAAAGTTTTATTATTTAAAAAAGCATTGGCTAAGTCTGGCTTTTGAAAGTATACTCCGATTTTGAATTTATTTATAGATCTAAGATAAGTTACCCCTTTATTAAATCGTTTTAAACAGGAGGAGAGTGAGAGCAAGTCTCTGGATCCAATGGTTTTCTGACTATCTGAGGATTCTACAAAGACAACAAATTCTGTCCCAGGGGATTCCTCGGGATATCTTCTAATATAATCTGTGACGTAGTAAGGTTTATACTTATCGGCCTTATCAATTTCAGATTCTGAGTCAGTAGAAGTATCTTCCGAATATATATCCTTGTCATTACAAGGTTCATGGTCTACATCACCTGAATCGTCATCTTTTTTTTTCCTTTTTCTACAACTGCGCTTCCCCATGAATGCTAATTATATTACTGTCGCTGAATTTAGTGAAAATATAATATTTTATTCAATAATAAGAATTGATAGAGATAGTTTTAATAAATTAATAAAAAAAATTTAAAAAACCCGCTTGTTCTTATTCGAGTTTCCCGCCTTTTTTTTCGATGTTATTATTAAAAAATTCCACAGACAATAGCTATATATTACTTTTTTATTACCATAGACTAAGAGTAGGCAAAAGCATAAAGTTATACATTCTTAACAGGCATGACTTAAGAACAAGGAATTAGATAAAAGGAATGATAAAATAAAATTTGTAAATCATGGCTCCTTTCTTCTTATGCAAATATAATTAGTGCAAAGTGGACGAAAGATACACCGTCAGTTGCTATTTTTCTCAATTCATAACAGGCTAGTATGTAGAAAATGTTATATGACCCTACCAAACCCTACCAAATTCAAATACTATTTGCTTTCATATTTTCTACATAAACTGTGTTGAATATATAATCTAGTAATGTAAAATTTGTCCTTGACAAATAATTGACATATCAAACATTTTCTATACGCTAGCCTGTTATGAATTGAGAAACATCACAACTGATTTGTGTATGTTTCGTTCTCTTTTTACTAATTATATCTGCTTAAGAAGAAAGGAGGCAACTATATTTTTTACAGTTTTTATTTTATTATTTCTTCTTAGTAATTCTTTGTTCTTAGGTATTTGGTATTTTTTTTTAATGGGCGATAATGGAATGGTAGCCCCACCTGCACTATCGGTATACATCAGCGGGAACCAGTAAAAGATGATAGGTGAGAATGAAGCAGGTCAGTTAGCCCATCGTGACGAATTCAACAAGAATTATTCACGATGATTTACAGGAGGAACCACGTGGAGGTCGATCTAATAGGGTATATTGCTAGCAATGGGGCTGTCAAACTCCATTGCTAATAATCCCTTTCCCCCCAGGTATTTGGTATTGATAATTATCAGAGCTATCACGTGCAAATGTTAATGTTATGGTTATTTTTCTATGGCACTTACTGACACTTAAGTGATATGTTACTGTTTTGGGGCTAAAAAAATATATTTACTGTCTGGAAATATAATTTATTAGTATTTATTTTCTATGTCCTTATCCATAACTACACATCCATAAAAAATAACAAACTTTCGAAATTCAAAACTGGTTTAGGTTTTTTTTAATGAATGATGGAATGATAACCCCGCCCGCGCTAATAATATAATATACAATGGCCGGGCACCAGTGAGGGATGATAGATGAGGATGAAAGCAGATCATTTAGCCCATTACGTATATACGTCGTCATTCGTGACTAATTGAGCCATAAATTAGTCACGATAGTTTCCAGGGGGGACCGCGTGGAGGTCGACCCGATAGAGTATATTGATAGCAATGGGGTGTAACCTCCCCATTACTAAGTGTGCAAGAATATAATTAAGTGGACTGTATGTAGGACAAGGTTTAAAATAAATTCGACACGAAAATGCGAAAACGATAAAAGTGTTATAAAAGTCACTATCGAGGTTCAAATTAGTTCAAATGACTACCCTTTGATTTGTGAAAATCTCTTTGACTGGTTTATGACATACTCAGATCACTCAGTTCTCTAAAGCATGCTAAAGTTACTTGATTACCTAGTAAATGTCATAAGAACTAAGGGTTTCAATCTTGAATCCTTCGACAGATGTTTTAATCTTGAAGCGTCCCTTTAGCGACACAAGAACTGACTTTTTGCGTAGTTTATGTTGATAATAACAATAATTTTAAATTCCGATATGATTCACGATGGTGGAATTAAATTTTTCACCTTTTTAAATATTTAAAGAACGACAAGGACCAAACTGTTATATTTCTGTTTTAGAGCAGACATCAACAACTTTTTTTTTCTTTTACCTCCAATAATTGATTCATTGTCACATACGAGAATAAAATGTTCTTATTAACTGTCAAGAGTGTTGCCATGCAATTGCAATAATTGTAATAATTATTACATCTGAAGTGAACACTAACAATCCCTTCCCCCTGATTTGTATTCTTGATTCTACAAATCACAATTAGATCAAATTTAATGCCAAGGAAAAGGATTAAAGCATAAAAGAAATAATAAAATAAAAAACAGTAATTCGAATAGTTCTCTATTTTTCTTATGTCGTACGATGCAATTATTTTTATTAGTTATATTTTTATGTTATAATATGGTGGTACCCACTTTAGTAAAGCTTTGCGTAAGCTTTACAAAAAAAATTAAAACTAATTTTATTAGTATTCTATCTACAGAATCATAGAAAAAAAAAAGGAAATTAATTAATTCTTTTATCTATTGCGGAACTATCGGTGTGTCAGTTGAAATTGCACTTGATTAATTTTTAATAACGGTTGTGATCTTCAATTTTTTCATCATTCACATCCAAACTATTTTATTTAAAAAAAAGTTTAATGGTAAAATTGACTATAAATATAAAAACGTAATGTTTAGTAAAAATCTGTTCAAATCATCGACAACTTTATGGTTGCTGCCGACTTAATTTGCTTCTAATGTAAATAAAATATACATATATTTGTTTTAAAAATTTCGTTCTAATGATTAAATGTAAAAAAATTAAATGTTTAATTTGAATAGTAAATTGATTTGGTTTGGTATTAGGTACATGTACGTTAAACAACGGTAGACTTTGTATAAAAGTTGTACCACTGTCCCACTTGTGTTTCTGCGTCCATTCAATTAGCACGGTTGTAATTCAATTTGAAAAATACTGGGTAGTGAACTTGTTGTTAACAAACAACACTTCTGGAATGGCAACGCATTAGAGATGTAATGGACGTCACAGTGTAATCAGTGATAATAGATACACATTCAAACACTTTTGACCCTAAACTTATTATTTTATTAATCGCTACTTGGTTTTATTTTTCTTTAAAACATAAGCTTTGATATAAAAATCTGAGAAGAGAAATAGTATAAATATGTTATGTGGCAGGAACATGAAGGAAATCCACTTGGGGTACTCGCATGATGGCTCGAACAGCACGTGTCCGAAGTGCAAGATGAGGAATAGAAACTGCGCCTGTAACACAAAATACTGTACTAAAATATTTCCTGAAGAAAGGTTTTCAAGTGGCAATCCCGTGTAAACAAGTGCAGTGTGCGGCGAAACCCGCTAGGTGCAGTGACGATCACAAGAATGTTGCAGGAAGTCGCTGAACGCAAATGGCGCAAAATCATGAGACGAAATTTGAGGGAGACCTATGTTCGATAGTGGAAGATAGATAGGTTGTAGTAATGATGATTTACTTCTTCTAGTTCTGGTACACACAACAGGTAATAACGTTTTTGTTCAAGGTATCTACTTTGGTGCTAAATGTACCTAATATGTGCTTGCACAATTTTCATATTTTGTTTCAGTAATTTAAGTTACTTATAATTAGTTAACATTACGAATACCTTAAAGTAGATGTGTCTACAAATTTGCCCACGTTTTTAGCACTTGGTTTCGGAATCTTAGATCTCGTACAAACTTTTCGACGAAAACGAACAAACACACAGTAGACATAAATCTTTGTACAACTCAAATTAGACACTCTACATTTTGAAGAGTAGAATTAAAAATTGAATTAGAGATACATACGATTTGCAGTTGCGTAATGTACTTCTTCCACCACTGTCGCACCCACTGCGGCCGTACTATCGAGATCAAGTAGTAAGAGTACATCACAGCGTGGACTATGGAATTAATAAAGCCGAGCATCACACCGTGACCACCTGCAATATTATAAAACAATCGACTTCATTCTTCACAAAATCGTCAAAAGCTTTCTTTAATATGAAACTAAATAGCAATGTAATACGTTCAATGGAATCTTTCCTGTTATAATTAGTACTTTTTTATTATTTTTCGTAATGTTAGATATTTTTGAGATAGACCATTTCTCCACCTTTTTTCCTATGAATCTATATCTTATTACTGTTGTAAATACGCATATAACCCTGATAAATTGGTACCCAACTATATGATTTAGATGAGTACCAATTTATCAGGGCTGGCTAGTGTAGTTGTTGATTAAAAATACCTATCACAACATAGTTGTTTTAACGATCCTATATAAAACTCTATATAAATATATATCTATCCATTAACAATATGCCTGCTTACCCTATATACATACATCTTTGTTACACTGTTTTATTCCTAACTATATACACATTGGGGGAAAGGGATTGTTAGTAATACAGATTATCAGTCCTATTGTTAACAATATACCCTTACAGGTCGACCTCCCCGTGGTCCCCCCTGGAAACCATCGTGCTGAATTCTAAGTGTATTTATCACGGGCTAACTGGCCTGTCTTTTCATCCTCACCTATCATCCCTCACTGGTGCTCCGCCAGCGTATACCGTTAGCGCAGGCGGGGTTACCATTTCATTATCATTCATAAAAAACCATATACACACATATTTATTTATATTAATTGTATCTTGCGGCTTCGCTCGCGCGAAACTGTACATAAAGCATCCTATGTGCAAAGTTAGAATATATCATACTCAAATAGCAATTTTGATCCAATATGTTCAGCAGTTTTTGTATGAAAGCGTAACAAATATACATCTATCCATCCGTATAAACTTTCGTATTTATAAAATTAATAGGATAAATCAAGCTTGCACGTCTGTCCCGTTCATGTTTCTACCGTGAAGCAGTTGTGTTGCATGGCTGTGTTTCAGTTGAAGAGTGGGATATGGCAGTGAATTTACAGGATACAGAGTAATAACACCTGAGTCCTCAGGAATGGCAACGCATTGGGTGGTCATGGGCGAAACAGTATACTCTGTTATGTCCGTGTCTATAGACGACAGCTACCACTTTCCATCAGGTGGGCCGTCAGCATGTTTGCCATTCTAAGTGGCATAAAAAATATTGTTTTTTATTGCTGTTTAGCAATTATATGTGTAATTATATTGTTGATTTCGTTCATGTAGTGCCTAATAGTCATGGTTAAGCTCGCATTAACAATCAATTCATACCTGGGATATATTTGGTGCCTATGAACCCGAGTAAGACCATCCCCATATGATGATAAACATGCAAGAAGGACACTTGAGAGAATTTCTTTCGCAGCACAAAGAATACCTGAAAGGCAAATAATCTTTTATTTATTATTAAGTAATAAAACTACACATATAGTCAGTCAGAGATTTTTTGCCATTGTGGTGAACAATTGTGGTAGTATATAGGTTCCCTATTCCCAACGATAAGTATGTAAAATCTTAAATATAATTTACGGAAAGTGTCAATCGACTGAAAGATTTATTTAAAATGTATTTTTATTTAATTTATAAATGTAAATTTCGATCCAACCGTTTGCAATGATGACTTGTCAGTTAGCTTAGTCAGCCAACATCTCTCTTTGTAATACATTAGAGAATATGTAAAGTACATGTAACAGGATATATGTTATTACGGAGCTACAAACAAACTAGTAGGTATTTGCGAAAGTATCAGGGCCAGTGTCAGAAAAACAGGTTCATCCGTCCGGTAGTTCCTGCGGTGGTCTTGCAAATCACCAGTCGAGCGGAACTGAAGCGAATGCATGCCCCAAATATAACGACTATCATTCTTAACTACTTAGGCAAATTCGAGTTAAATGTAGATTAAACTAACTACACTTTAGTAGACTGATATAAAGTTTTTAAAATTTTTATCTTGGATGACAACCTTTTGAAATATGGTCTAACTCTGAATTATAAAAAAATGTGACTTTCTGTTTATACCAAAGATTTCGGAATTGTACTTCGGTTTATACCAAGCTACTTGTATTTTAAAATCCGTAATAAAATTATAATTCGGTCGTGTAGTATGCAATAAATGCGTAAAGTAAAATATATTGGAGCATTTTAGTACTTGTGCTTGCTTAACATACTTCAAGAGGAAACGCGCAAGCTCAAAAACAAAAGATATACTCATAGACGTAACGTACTGATATACCTAATAAATAATAAGCAGTATAAGTGAGAAACCAATGACCTTCTAATTAATGGTTTCATGCATAAGTAGAACCTTGAAAATCGGGCCAACTTAGAAGAAATAATATTCTCCACTAGTTTAACTGAGAATCGACCCAGGACCTTATTTACATAAAACAACGTGCCTGGAGGGAAAGGATTATTAGTAATGAGAACTACCAGTCCCATTGTTAGGAATATACCTTATCAGGTTGACCTCCTTGCTGTCCTTGCTGTTAGAAACCATCGTGCTGAATTCCAGGTATATTTATCACAATGAGTTAATTGACCTGCCTTTTTATTCTCACCTATCATTCCTCATTGATTCTCCGTCAATGTAAGTATACCCTTAGCTCAGCCAGTGTTACCATTTTATTACCATTCATTAAAAATATGCCTATTATGTAAATTATAATTTATAACACCATATACCAACTATACGTGCGTGAGGAGAGTGATTGTTAATAATGGAAACACTAGTCCTTATTACAAGTAACCCTAACAGATCAACTTCCACGCGATCACTTTGCAAACCATCTTGGTTAATTCTTAGTAAAATCATCATGGCGGACCAACTGATCCGACATCATCCTCATCTATCAGCTCTTATTGGTACTTCGCCAGCGTATACTGATGGCATTGGCTGGTTTATCATTAATTTTTTATCAAAAAAAAAAAAAAACTATGTCTATAGATACGTTGGTTACGATTTCATAAGTAGGCTTACCGTGTCTAACAAATCGATGACTTTGATCACGTAGTAGAGCCAGACGCGTCGTACTACCAACAGTTCGAGTGGGCTCTCATCATAAACGATCTTCTGACACCACATGCTGTAGTGGCCGCTTAAATACAGCCTGGTCAGACACTGAATGGAAAAATTTTGATAACATTTTTGTTATTATACCTATCTCATGCACCAGTCTCTCACAGTTATATTTATAATTTGATTACTTTAATATAAGCATGTCTCATTGTATCTCACTGTGATAAATTGTGAAGAGAAAATAAATCTATTTATTATTATTATTATTACTCGTATTATAATGAAACACATTTAATTACTTCCCCATTTTCCGCGGCTTTATCCTCATTTATCAGTATGGAAAATATCCTATGTGTTAAGCTTAGATTACATAGATAGTGTCTCCATACAAATGCTTCGAAAAAAGCGGGTTAACTATTTCATACAATTTTGCAAGATAATTAGTTAATAGTGTTTCTTTTCTGACTTCTATATTCATTCTGTTTAATAATGTTTGCATCTTTATAATGCGTAAAAACTCATTTTATTTATTAAATAGATAAATATGAATGCATCAAGATAGATTATGTGCGTAAGTATATAGAATACTGATAAAAAAACGAGTCAACTAATTTGACAATTAACTGACAAAAATTGACCTGTTTTTGAGACTCGATACTCTATCTATATAATCAAAGTGTTACAATATAACCTATCCGAGTGTAAAATTTTCACATTTATATAAATTTAGGTCTATTCACCTCGTACAGTTCACTTTTAGGAACTTAGAATATAATCTAACGACGTATGTGATGGAAAATGATATCTGAACTCCTTTTTGGCAATTTATTAATTGCGATGTGAAATAGAAATATTATAAAGATATAAAATTTTCATATTTAAATAATATTTCTATAATAGACGTTTCCAAATTTCATATATATACATACATGATACGCACATATTAATATTATCAGTAGAAAGTATTTTAAATTAAAACGCATATGTACATACCTCTACTGTTAAGTAGCCGGATAAAAATATTTGCACTATATTGTATACTATAATTAGGCTCTTGAGATTGTACGGTTGTCGGTTGGCCATAAAACTAGGTCCCCATTTCCGAACGAATTGGTGATATAAGTACATGATCAACAGAATTGGTAAAGGACTTGATACCAAAGGGAAATTATTGGTCCGTGGGTCTGGAAACCAAGTAAAATATATAAAATTAAATAATTATGCTTTCACAATTATTGTTCCTAATGGAGTTGTTAAGTTTTTATCAATATTTGTTACTGTAGTGAACTTAAAAGCTTTCTTCATACTTTACAGCAACATTACAAATATGTGTAAATTAAAAAAAAAACTGAACATTTTTCAATGTTTCTGATTGATTGTTCAAAAGTGCTTTGTTAGCGAACTAAAACATTTATCATAGAATACATTGCAACCGTGAAGCAGTTGTATTTGCATGGCTGTGTTTCGGTTTGAAGGGTGGGATATGGCGTGAATTTACTGGGTACAGAGGAATAACACCTGAGTCCTCAGGAATGACAACGCATGGGGGGTATCATGGGCGAAATAGTACACTATGTTATGTCCATGGTACTGCTCATGTCTATAGGCGACGGTTACCATTTTCCATCAGGTAGATCGTCAGCTTGTTTGCCATTTTAAGTTGTATAAAAAAAACATTGCATATAAATCTACCACTAAAAACTTTGCATCTACATCATCATATTTTAAAACATTTTTGCCATTAAAATCCAAATTTTCAGTGTCAATTTCACTTTTAATTCGAAAGAAACCATGGGCTACACAGTTTATTCTGTTATGTCCATGGTACTGTTTATGTCTATAGGCGACGGTTACTACTTTTCATCAGGTGGGCCGTCAGCTTTTTTGCCATTTTACGCTGCATAAAAACATTTAAAGTTTTTCTATAACAAAGGGGGCAAACAAGCATGTGGTTCACCTGATGGTAAATGATTACCGCTGCCCAAGAGCACCCGCATCACCAAAGTATAATAATTGCAGATGTTGCCGACCTTTGAGAAAGAAATATGCTCTTTTCTTGAAAGTTACGATAACTTTTTAAAAAGTTCGTAAAATTGTTTTTGACAATTGACAACGTTGAATTGCAACGTTGTTACGCTTCCGTATGCTAAAGTTATGAAAGCTTTTAAAACTCAATATCCCCACATTTCCTCAAATATATTAGAATCCAATATGGCAGGGGCAAGTCTATGCCATCACTGATTAATTTTGATTTATTATCTGTATTTTTCATCACTGAAGAGAGTGGAAACCTCCACCTATAAAAATGAAGCACCATGAATATTATAGAATACACTGTGGCACCCATGAAATATATGTGAGGCGATATGATACGCATGGGAGGTTTTCACATGTGTAGCTATTCCTTAGGACTAAAATATTAATCCGTAACCAGTAACTTCAATGACTTATCCACTCTTCAAACCGAAAGGTAAGCGTAACTGATTTGCAACAAGAGGGTCAGAAGTACCCATGTAGTTGACTTTTACGCAAAGACACAATATCTGTCTATTATATCTAGTAGCTTTTAATTTACAATATCTTTATAAATGTATTAAAAATAACATTACAACCAATTTACCTGCAATTTCATCATTAATGTAATGGTAATAACTTGTTATAGTTCTTACTATCGTCGCCATTGTTCTATCTGAAATGAATACAGGTTGGTATTTAGTAACATTTCTGCTGTAAGGTGAATAATGCATTTTAAAAAGTGAACACACACACATAATAATGTCAAATACACGTTGCCGACCTTGAAGAAAACTTAATATCCCTTAATGCTTATTCCTATTGTAAAATGGTGTATTGATAATTTATGGAATATTTAAATTTATTTAGAAAGTAAATAGATTTTTACAGTTACAATTAAATTAATATCATGAACGACAAGACAATTAATTTATAAAAAGTCGTTTAAACGGCACGTTGCATCAACTCCGGCTTTACAGACAATACTATAGTATGTACGTAGGTTAATGTTTTTCAGGTGCAATGTGTTGTACCTGAATAACATTGACCTCTTTTCTTTGACAGTCGGGTAATTAAACAATAGGTCAGGCCCCACATACTGCTAATAATTTTGAAATGTTTCAATAAAGTATTTCCCTATTACCATATCAATGCTATTTACTGAAACCTACCTTTAAATATAATCTAAAATATACTTAGCAATTATTGAGCATCTATACAACAGATATAATCAATATCTATATAACCAATGTTTATTGTAATATAATCAACAGGAACGTTGCGATTCTTATTTGAACGGCCTCTTTATAATAAACATTACACATACAAACGACAATGACAAAGCATGTTACCTATTATAGAATAAATAAAGTGGTTCTTTAACAGTATTGACAGGTATAAATCGAAGATTCATTAAAATTCTTAATTAATTCCAACCAATGACACGCCAAAAGGAATAACATTTATATAGGTACGCATGTGACGGTGTGGTGTGCAAGGGAAAACATGCTATAGTATGATGCGGGCCACTTATTTTTGTAGCAGAGAAGAATCCGAAACAAAGTACAAAAAAAAAAAGAAGAAAATAGAGAAGCGGTGTTTTTACAAACTGTTTCTATTTGGTAAGCTAATGCTCTATGTAGTGTATACGGTGGAGTCGTGATAATCATTGAAATTTATTACAAGAGAAGTACGCTAAAGCGAGGTACAATTATGTCTGAGATATAATTATAAGTTCAATATACAAAATCTATGCACTACATATATCGACATTTGAAAGAAGAAATGATATAATGTATTGTTAGATTTTTCCACCTCGACTAGTCTCAACCTTGGGGAGGCAATGGATTATTAGTAATAAGGTCAATAAGCTTATTGCTAAATTACATAGACATCCACGCGGCTCCCTCTGGAAACCGTAATAGTTAATTCTTAATAGAATTTTTCACGATAGGCCAACTGACCTGCTATCATCCTCACCTATCACCTTTCACTACTAATACAAAGGCAGGGCTACCACACCAATTTCACTATTTGAAAAAACCTACTACGGACATTTTTGTTGTCATTTTTATTTTCCTATCGATTATTTTGAAATATACAGAAATACTTTATAAATTATTTATAACTTTAAGCAATTATACCATAATCTTACAACTAAACTTTTTTTTCCCCGCGGGTAGTTGTACAAGACAGACGTATAAATAAGTTGCCTACTTTATAAATACATTTTAATTGTTTTTATTATTTATTTTAATCTAAATTTATGTACCAACTTTAATTACTGCTGTTATCTGCCAGTGGTTACGTTATCTCCTCTCTAGTTTTCCTTAATAAAGAAATGGAGTCAATTCAAGAATCTCTAGAACAAATGAAGGAACATTTCTCAAGTAAGATGGCGGCATTTCAGGAGGATCTTCACAAGGCTAGTACTGCACCGATTACCCTTGCTTCATTAGCAACGGACTTCAGCGATTTCAAGTCCTCCATCTTAGCTACATTGAAGATTCTACAACAACAGGTTGAGGTTATCGCCAAGCAGCAAGACCAGCTTGAAATGCGCAACCGTCGCAAAATCCTTCTTGTGCATGGTGTTCAGGACAGCGGCAAAGACACATCTTCAGAGGTGATAAAAATTATTACTGAGCGACTCAATCTACCCATCACTGAAGATTCCATCAGTCGCAGCCACAGGATGGGACGTAAGTCTGGTGAGAAGCCTAGGCCAATTTTGGTGAAGTTTCGCAATCTTGAAATTAAGGACAAAGTTTGGTTCTCAAAAACTGGGCTCAAGAATAGTGGCATCACTTTCTCTGAATTTCTTACCAAGGGCAGACACGTCGCTTTTATGGCGGCTCGGAAGCATTTTGGTATATCCAAGTGCTGGACTCGTGATGGATCGGTGATTGTCGATGGACCAGACGGTAAGAGACGACGTTTAAATTCAATTACTGAGTTGAATCGTCTAATCGATTCATTGCCGGGTACAGGTACTGGTGAGGTCAAATTGCCAGCAAGTGTTTCGGCCGCTTCGAAGACAATGGATAGGCGGGATCAGGCTGGATTGAGTCGCACTAAGCGAGTTACCAAAAGAATTTAGAATTGTATAAGTTAATATTTTAATTAATTTAGTTTTTTTTTTTTGTAAGTGGGTGTTTGGTTATTTTCGCTCTGCTGGTAGATGGTTATTTATTTCATGACTTTATTTATGGCTGGCCCTATTTATTTATACTATAATTTCATATGTCCATATTTTACATTATTCTGTGCTTAATAGTGATAATCTTGTTGTTTTTTTTATTATTTACTAAGTGCTAAGCAATGTAACATCAAATCTGTCAATTTTCACTAACTACTAATCTGGCTCATTCTCATTGTATCTTTATACTTCTATTAAATCCTTTTCATTTACATTTTTGTATTATAACACAACAAAACACTTGTAATATTTTACAAATTTGTTGCATCAAATGCCGCTAGAAGTTTACTTGTATTTATTTAGCTCCGTATTTTCAACTGTCAGATGTAATGAATATTTAATGAAACTGGGTATAGATAGAATAACAGATCGAATTATTAGAAATAAGCAGGTAGATTTTGGGTGTGTATTATTGCCAGTACTGATTAATTGTTTTGTGTAGTTATTTTTTTTTATGTATTCCGTTACATGCAATAATTAGTTTTTATCTAATTTATAGAAGTTTATAGAATGGGTTTAACAGCCAAAATATAGAATGATATCTAATATACTATTAATATTACTACAAATAACTGCATGCGGGGTGTACGTATCCGGGCCCACTTATATTTAATTTATTCCTGTGTACTCCATTTTAACTGAACAATTATGTATTTTTTTTTCTTTCCTTTTTTTTTCTTCTTTCTGTTGTGATAATGTGTTTTCAATATTTGCTTTATTTATGAATATTTGTTGTTTATTGTATACCAATTCTGACAAACCACTGGCGGGTAGATGTTTTAACGTTATATATTTTATACGATTTTTATTATTATATAAATAATATATTTGTTTATTAATTATATATCACACACATTTTATGGACAATGATATAAATGATATTTCTATATCAGTTTCCTCCTCTTCCTCTTCTAGTGATGACAGTTTTCATAGCATTAACATTCCTCTAGACGAAACTTTGCATACTACATTTTCGGATGTAGTAAAAAATTTCAATGCAGTACATATTAATGCTCAAAGTATTCCTGCCCATTTTTCTGACATGTTAGACTCATTTACTGATAACAATATTCATGCTATATTTGTGTCGGAGTCTTGGCTGAAACCTTGTCTTCCTTCTATCGCTTACTCCCTTCCTGGTTTCCATCTTATTCGCTGTGATCGCACCGGTAGAGGTGGTGGTGGTGTTGCCATATATCTTCGTACTCATATACCATTTAATATCGTTTGTTCCTCTAACTCCTCTAATGAAGCGGAATTCCTTTTTCTTGAAATCACCTTATCCCACTCCAAAGTCCTTCTAGGTGTTTTCTATAGCCCTTCCTCTTCTGTAGATTACTTTTCCTCTTTTGAATATCTCCTCGAAAACCTTACCCCATCTTTCAATCACACGATCATCATGGGTGATTTTAACACCTGTCTGTTGAAAAATGATAGCCGAGCTTACCGTCTTAAGTCTGTTGCCAGTGCTTGTAATTTAAATATTTTGCCTCTCCAAGCAACCCATTTTTTTCCGAATTGCAATCCTTCCTTACTTGACCTAATCCTTGTATCATCTCCCGAACATGTTTCCAAGTTTGGTCAGCACACCGCTGATGCTTTTTCCTTTCATAATCTCTTATACCTTTCCTATAAAATCCGTCCTCCTAAATTAAAGCGTAGAATCCTCATGCAGCGCAATTTTGGGGCCATTGACATGGACCGTTTGCGAAAAGATGCATCGGAGTGTGACTGGTCATCTATTGCAAATATAGGTTGTGTAAACATACAGATACAAGAATTTAATCAACTCGTTCTTGACCTTTATGATCGGCATGCCCCAATCCGTTCCGTCAGAGTCCGACATCTGCCTGCGCCCTGGCTCACTGAGGATATTAGAGCTATCATAAACAAGAAAAATAATGCTAAAACTAAATTTAAAAAAGACCCAGACAGATATCGTGACAACTACGTGCGCATCAGAAATCTCTGCAATAAGATGTGTAGGGAGGCCCAACGTCGCCACATCCATAAATCTGTTGAGAATGGAGATCCAGCAAAAGTCTGGAAATTTCTTAAATCTTTAGGAGTTGGAAAAAAACACAATGAGAGTTCCACTAGTATTGATATTGAGAATCTTAATAGACATTTTTGTTCCTCTTCTATTGTTGTTCCTAATGACAAATTAAAAACACTGTATTATCTTTCTTCGCTTCCAACTCCTGATTACACTCCTTTTGTTTTCGGACAATTGTCCGATTGTGATGTTGAGAGAAGCTTACTGTCAATATCTTCTAATGCTCTGGGTACTGACAACATCAGTCGTGCTATGATCATGCCTATCCTTGATATCCTGCTGCCAACTATTACTTTTCTCTTTAATAATTCATTATCCTCAGGTATTTTTCCTCATATCTGGAAAGAAGCCTTTATTATCCCCCTACCTAAAAAAAATATCCCCACAGTTTTTTCCGATTATCGACCTATATCCATTCTTCCCTTCCTTTCCAAAGCTCTGGAAAAGTTAGTACATCAGCAACTCAACTTGTTTCTGTCCAAAAATAACCTTCTTAATCCTTTGCAATCTGGTTTCCGCGCAGGTCACAGCACGACTACTGCTCTTGTAAAGATCTCTGATGATATCCGTTTCGGAATGGATAGCTCAGAGCTGACAGTTTTAACATTATTAGATTTCAGTAATGCTTTTAATACCGTCGATTTCGACATTTTGTTGCAACTGATGACTTCTCTCAACATATCTCCAACGGCAATTGAATGGTTTCGTAGTTACCTGGTTGGACGTCGGCAGCGTATTCGTATCAACGACTCTTTGTCATCTTGGTGCAGTACATCTGCGGGCGTGCCCCAGGGTGGCGTCTTATCTCCTCTTTTATTTGCCTTATTTATCAACAATATCACGTCTCAGCTTCGGTCTTCCTACCATCTTTATGCAGACGACCTTCAAATTTACTGCCGGGCTCCTCTTATTAATATTTCTGTTGCAGTAAATACAATAAACGAAGACCTTGAACGTATATCTGTCTGGAGCAAATCCTATGGTCTTGCTGTAAATCCGACCAAGACCCAGGTTATAATCATAGGTAGCCCTAGTTACATTTCCAGAATGACTTTGAATGACCTTCCTTCTGTAGTTTTTAATGGAATGAAGTTAAACTACAGCGACCGCGTTAAAAATCTCGGCATTTGTTTTGATAGTACTTTATCCTGGTCACCTCAGATTGCTGAGATTAGCAGGAAGATGTTTGCGGCAACTGGATCCCTTTACAGGTTGCGTAAGGTTCTTCCTATGGATACCAAAATTGCGCTTGCTCATACATTGCTCCTCCCCATCCTTGACTACGCCGATTCCTGTTATTCAAATGTCACTGAAGAGCAGTTAAATAAACTTGAGCGTCTTCAAAATTTATGTATACGGTTCATATTTGGACTTCGCAAATATGACCATGTATCCCAATATCGTACACGACTCAAGTGGCTCTCTATCCGTCTTCGTCGTAACTGGCACATCCTTTCCCTTCTTTACTCAATTCTCTTTAATCCAGTTACACCTCATTATTTAAAAGAACGTTTTATGTTTCTTGGAGAGAGCAATTCTAATTCTTATTCTTTACGTAGTACTGACAACCTCCAACTCATAATTCCTACCCATTCTTCCTCTTTCTACTCCAAATCCTTTTCCGTGCAAGCAGTTCGTTTGTGGAACTCACTCCCTACCTCTATACGGTGCGCTCAATCGTTGCCCATTTTTAAAAACTTAGTTAAAGCCCACTACCTATCCTTATAATCACTTAGTCCTACGTATTTCCAGTTTTATGTGTGTTATATATATGTGTATTAATATGGTATATTTATGTGTATTTATGCGTATATATGTATATGTATGTATATATATTTATATGTGTATGTGTATGTATATATATGTATATGTTTGGTTGTATGTGTTTATTTATGTATGTATATGTATATGACTATGCTGTCACAAATATTATTTTTTACAAATCTATCTTTTTTAACGCGCCACCTACCTACTTATGCTTTAATCCTTTCTACCCAAAGGTTGTCTGGAAGAGATTGCTTAGCAATAAGACCGCCTTTTGTACTACACTATACTTATTGAAAATTGTTTTAACAAATCATGTTATGTTGGTGCAATAAAGTGTTAAATAAAATAAATAAATAAATAAAAATAATTTTCTTTTGTGTCAACAACTTTTATAAATTAATTATTTTATTAAATATTATTTTATATTAAATTCTAAAAAGAAATTTGCTTATATTAACATTCATTTTAGAATATATTTTTATAAAAAATTCTGCAATTTTCCTGACTGTCTTATATTTTTATTGATGGACTTATATTTATTTTCTAATTTTTGTTTTCATTAACTAAATGACAATATCTCGTACACCGATATTTGTTAAGAGTACTTGACGAGATCATCGTTTAGATTATATTATCCTTTTTATAACCGTAAAAATCATCCATTCAAAAACATAAAATGTAATTGATTAAAAATATGCTAAAATATTGATAAGTAATTGATTATTTAATTTTATAAGTTATATATATATATATATATATATATATATATATATATATATATATATATATATATATATATATATATATATATATAAATATATATATATAATTTAATAAAAAAAAACGATTAGATAACAATAGTTGTTCCTATAAATACTAATTAAAATAACTGACTTAGTTGTACATGAGGTCTCACACTTTTTTGTAGTTGAAAAACTACGTAGCGAGACTTGGCGTATTTTTAAATTTTATATTTTTTAAGGAAACTCATTTCTTTTCAATCGACTTTAAAATGAAGGAGGTTCTTAATACGATCGTTTTTTTTTTATTTTTGTTACCTCATAACTCCGTCTGTAAC